CCCCCCCCCCCCCTCTTCACCCCCTCACTCCAGGTCCCCCCCTCCCCTTTTTTTTCTATGCTTTTCTAAAGTTTGTAACACTTTTTTAACAAAAAGGTAGATCTAGTAACAGAAGGTAAGGGTGGGTGTGGGGAGAAGAGAGTGTCATAGTGTCTCAACACGGGTTTTCAAATTATGCCTAGTCCTTTTTCTTTCGTTTAGTTTTTTGTAGAAATTTTCTCGTTCTTCCAACCTAAAAAAAAAGCTGGTATACGTGTGGAACCTTTTTCTTTTGACTTATTTAGACCTACGTGATTATGGATACCCCCCCCCCCCCCCCCCCGCGCGCTCTCTGTTAAGCTAGACCCCCGTCTGTTCCCCTGTATGCAGCTGTTGAAAGCAACGTCGGAAATATAAAACCCTTTTCCACTTGAAGCCTTTCACTTCAGACATTACGGGAGCAAGCGTTAACATTTAGTTAACATAAAGTTCTCGTTTTCAGCGGGCTTTTACTGAAAATCAATACGGCGTCTATTTCAAAAGTGCACCGTTTTTACATAACAAAACTGCAAGAGTAAGAGATTAAAAGATATATTTTTTTAAAAGTATAAGAGATAAAAATATATTTTTTACAAGAAGGTTTTCGTGATTCTTGTCAAAGACTCGATTCAAAAGAAACATTTTTCTCCCACGAGTTTCCTATCGATTTCTTCCCGTAACTCGTTCTGTTATTTCGTCCCTTAACCCGTTCTGTACCAAAACAAACGATATACCAGAGCTATAAATTGCTTTGCACCTTTTGAGTTATTTCTTGCCTTAACTCGTTCTGCACCAAAACAAACGATATACCAGTGTTTTGCTCCACACCGTTAGGGTTATTTCTTCCCTTAACTCTTTCTGCACCAAGACTAACAATATACCAGTGCTTAGTGGGTGGTCGGCGGATGCTCTGGTGAGGTTTGCTTCTTCTTTTCTATCAAACATCCATCGTCCTAATCTCCCCTTCTTCTTTTATATGTTTGTTACTCTCTTGTAACACCTCTAATCTTCTGGCGCTCACATGACCTTATGCAGCTGCGAGCGCCGTAAAACCTCTACTAAAACTAAGATACCAGTGCTTTGCTCTTCACCGTTAGAGTTAATCTACCCCGAAAGATTCAAAATGCCAGCCCACGACACAGCGGTCTAACAAACTTATTGGGATCAGCGCGTGCAGTATTAGGTTCCTTTTTTTTAATGCACTTCTTTTCTTTAGTCTTTTTCCTTCTTTTTTTTCTTGTTCCTTTAGAGTTGGATATACTGTAGTTCTCCCAGGCAAATCAATGGGAAAATAGCTCTCTGTGTTTTGACAGTAGGCAAACCCATTAGCGCTCTGATAGGAAAAGAGTAATGAGGAATAAATTGTAGCATAATACTGCGTTTGGAAACCAAACACATACACACATTCGCACACATGCTCGCGCGCACGCACGCACACATACACAAACACGCTCTCTCTCTCTCTCTCTCTCTCTCTCTCTCTCTCTCTCTCTCTCTCTCTGTATCCACACAAAACACAAAAACACCATACCCCCCCCCCCCCCCCAAACACACACACACAACTGACGAACTATGTAACCCCAGACATACCATTCTTCTCGCTGTCACTGTGTGTCAAACTAAAGAAAAAACTCACAGGACATATTGATTTATATTGTACAGCAAGTGGCCACCGTTGATAATTACAATTGATTCCGGTATTGATCTGATTGATCGGGCTGATCGCGATCACAGGGTACTGGGGCCAACAGTGTGAAGTTGCCAGGCCCAGTTCTTGTCTTTATTAGTTTTAGTAAGAGTTTTACAGCACTTGCAACGCAATAAGGTCATAATATAAGTGCCGAAGATTAGAGGTGTTACAAGAGAGTAACAAACACGAAAAAGAAGGAGGAGAGATCAAGATGATAGATGTTTGATAGGAAAGAAGGAGCAAACCACACTAGAGCACTCGCCAACCACCCACATTTCTTGTCTGATAGGATTAAAACAGTGTGTGAAATGGTAATAGCAATCGTAATATGGCAAAAAGACGAGCCGAGAGTAAATATATATGTTATTGGATGCTACTACTACTACTACTACTACTACTACTACTACTACTACTACTACTACTACTACTACTACTACTCTACTACAGCTACTGCCGCAGCTGCCTCTATGATGGCTGTTGCTGCTGCTACTGACATTGTTGATGCTACTATTA